AAGAACCTAGGGAACTGGGTCCATGTGAGTGAACAGGACAGGTAGAGCCTCAGATGGTAACTGGGAACTAGAGGGCAGATGACAAAGATTCTGAGTGTCAGGCAGAATAAAACTGAGGTACAGCAGGTCAAAGTGTGTGAGCAGTATAGCATCCAGAACAAAAGACTGAGATGACTAATAGAATTAAAAAATAATATTAATGCCCTTCCCCTTACAGAAAAGAATGGGGCTAAGTTTCCCTAGGCTCTGCAGATATCTTTAAGACATTCTGAATATGAAAATGCATGAAATGAGAGATAGTCCTTGGGTTTAGGGTTCTCAAGACCATCCCACCAGAAGGGCTCACAGGATTAAATATACATAATCATATTCATAGTTAGGCTTATTACAGTTAAAGAATATACAACAAAATCAGCAAAGGGAAAAGGTGCATGAGGAGAAGTTTGGAAGAAACGAGGCACACACTTCCAAGAGTCCTAAGGGAGTCACGCAGGATGTGCTCAGTTGCTCCAATAACAGACTTGCGACAGTAAGTGTGAAGTTATCAACCAGGAGAGCTCATTACTCAGTTCTCAAGGTTTTCATTGAGGGCTGGCAATGTAAGCACTCTCTTCCTAACATACACCAAAATTCCAGTCTCCCAGAAGGAAGGCGGGTGTTTAGCATAAAACACATTTTTCCTCAAGCAGCTTAGGCCATTCTTATCATTTAGGGAAAGTTTTATATCAGTGCAGAAAACTGTTTATCAGCCAAGTTCCCCCATACCAGGCAAGGGCCCAACCTTGCAAGCAGGTCTTTTTTAAGAAAAGAAGCTCAGGTTTGTCATGTTAACTCTTTTCTACACTGTCTCCACAATAATTTTCCCTTTTTGTTTCCTTTTCAGATATAGTTGCTTTTGTTTGCAAATGGGAATCCAGAAATGCTCCTATAATCCAAACAAACAAGCAAACTCAAGATAATTAACTCACCACACAGGACCTTAACTTCTGGATCTTATTTATTCTAGAGCTTTACTTATCCCAATGTATCATAAATGGGATTAGCCTGACTTCATGTAGCGGTATTTCCCTAAAACCATCATTTATATTGGTAGTGATTTCATAGGTCCATTAACCTCGGTTGGGACCAGTTTCTTTAAAATGAAAATGCAGTGATACAAATTAGAACCTGGGATGTCTGGTGACCGATGTTCACGATAGCATATTAGAGATATAGTTTCAGCAGTGAGTTTGTTGGGTGAGTCAGAAAAGGCCAAGAAGACAGAAAAATTTACTATGTTTTTTAACTATAAGGATGTCACAGGCTTTAATAGGAGCCAAGCAAACTCTCTCACTTTCCTGAAAAGGATAGTTGTCCAGATAATAAAAGCAGAGAAGCCGCATATTATCTGCTAAAACCATTCAAAGAATTCCAACAAATTTTGGATGGCCTTGATTGTCTAGAGCATGTGGAAGGGCTTCTTGTCCATTTTCCTTGGGAGGGTGAGGTATAGATTCTCAGAAACCAAATCTCTGGTATCATATCTGGCTCTGCTCTTAAGGATGCTCAATAAATGATTCTGACAAGTGCATATGGAGCAGACAGTTCATGAATACATGAGCTAACTTCTCAAGCAAGCTCAGGGTCAAGTGCCTACAGGTGGGCCAGAAACAGTGGTTCAACAGCTAGGTTCAAATAGCAAGTCTGAGAAAGGAGGGCATGAAATGGGAATGAAGAACTAGAGTGAAAAGCCAAGATGCAAAAGAGTGACGGTGACGGGAGGGCAAAAGCATGCAAGAGAAGCTGCTTGGAGAAACACAGAGGCCTATGGCTGACAGTGGGCTTTTTATAAGTTCTCTATGGTGTACTGAGTGAATAAAATAGTTCTGTTTAAAGGGATCTGAGCTGAGTAGGCAAACTTAATATTTAAAAAAGGAATATAAATGAAGGAAATACATGGTAATAAAAATTTAAAATATATTCTTAAATTTCCTTATGTGTCATAAGAATCATTCTTAAAAAAGCTTTCAACAGAAATAAAATGATCTGAAAGCAACTTTTTTTTTTTAATTTTTTTTGAAACGGAGTTTTGCTCTTGTTACCCAGGCTGGAGTGCAATGGTGCGATCTCGGCTCACTGCAACCTCCGCCTCCTGGGCTCAAGCAATTCTCCTGCCTCAGCCTCCTGAGTAGCTGGGATTACAGGCACGCGCCACCATGCCCAGCTAATTTTTTGTATTTTCAGTAGAGACGGGGTTTCACCATGTTGACCAGGATGGTCTCAATCTCTTGACCTCGTGATCCACCAGCCTTGGCCTCCCAAAGTGCTGGGATTACAGGCGTGAGCCACCACGCCCGGCCCTGAAAGCAGCGTTTTTGAGCTACTGCAACAACCTGACATATGTAGCCTTAGAAAGACCTGTTTGCAAGGTTGGCCTTTGGCCGGTGTCTGGGAACGTGGTTGGTAAGCAGTTCCCTGCACTGAGTGGAAACTTTCCCTAAGTGGTAAGAGTGGCTCACTGTGACTAACTGTCTAGAATGTGGTTTATGCCAAACACCTGCACACAATGTCCCAGCTTTCCTTCTGGGAGTCTGGAATTTGGGTACATATTAGGCAAAAATTGGTTTTCCTTCTGAATTTTTTTTCTTCTGTAAGGAGATTCACAAACATAGCATTCCTGGAATTATCGCATTGGAATAGTCTACTTACCAGTCTTGAGTGACTATAAATCTTTGAATTAACCAAGCAAGTATCCTCAAAACAACAACGGTAACAAAAACCTATGCAATAACCTCTGGCCTGGTCTAGCAACTGGCAGTCTCTTCCCTCTAAAGAAATTACTTATTTACTGAGAGCCTAAGTCATGACACTTAGCTAATCTAAAATCCTCAGAAGTTCATTATTGTCTCGTGAATTATAATCAAACTTATAGCCTGGCACCCAAGCCTTTTACAGTTTGTCCTTGGCCTACATATACCATTTAGCTTTACACATTACCATTTTTCCCATTTATACTTTAACTGTTTGTTACTTGTGTGTGACATGTATGCTTTCCGTAAGAATTCTTTCAAAAATATCACAATCTGTGATTTCAATATATCTCAATTCAGGAAGAATTTTCTTGACCATCTACTATGTGCAAGGTTCAGTGTCCTGGGCACTGAAAGAGATAGTCAAATGAACAAGAAAAATAAACAAGAATTGATCCCCACTCTCTATGATGGATAATATAATTCAGAGTCACTTTCTGAAAACCATTCAAGTCCTTAATGTGTTAGATCTACAACATGCTCCATTGCCGGAACTTCCTTGGGGAGCTTGGTGTTTCCTGGACTGTTTGGATATTCCCAGTAACAACGTATTTAATTAGAATGCTTTTATTGGCTGGGCATGGTGGCTCACGCCTATAATCCCAGCACTTTGGGAGGCTGAGGCAGGTGGATCACCTGAGGTCAGGAGTTCAAGGCCAGTCTGGCCAACACGGTGAAACTCCTTCTCTATTAAAAGTACAAAAAATTAGCTGGTCATGGTGGTGGGCGCCTGTAATCTCAGCTATTTTGGAGGCTGCGGCAGGAGAACTGTTTTAACCAGGAAAGCGGAGATTGCAGTGAGCAGAGATCACGACATTGCACTCCAGCCTGGGCAAGAAGAAACTCCATCTCAAAAACAAAAAGAATGCTTTTATTCTATCTTTAAGTTTATCCCCCTTTTAAACAGCATTATCTGTCCATGTGCACACAGCTTTATTTAAAGACTCCTTCATAAAGTGATTTATTGTTCTACCTCTTCTTAGCTTGGTGTTATTGAAGAATAATTATTTGCAAATAAGAAGATCAAAACTTTACATATATTCTAGGTTTCTTTCTATCCTTCAGAAATAAAGTTAGGCATGTCTTCCCCAACTAATCACTATCTACTCAAGTGCTGAGAAAGCATGCCAACTGCTCCCGCATTAGAACTATTCCTGGCACACCGTAGGCACTTAGTAACAATCCTACCTGTATGGCTGTACAAAAAATTAATAGAATGGTAATCAATAATGCAAAGAAGCAAAAACTCAACAAGAGACAACATAAGCCAGTATCAAGGTCAGATCTTCACAATTTTCTGGTTTGTTCCTAATCACATTCTAGGACAGATGTTCCTGTTTTGGTTTATGGACTGAAATTTTTTGAAAAATTAATTTCAGCAGGCCCTCTGAATCCATTTTTATAAGAATCCTAAGCTGTGAAAGGAACAAAGGTTTTGGCAGATAGTATAATCAGAGTCAGGGATTGGCTCGGTTTGAATCCTTCAGGGTACTGAAAATGTGATAAAATAATTGCATAATTTATTAATGACCTAACGAAATTCTTATACATTATGCTGTAGAGCAATTCCACAGCCATTATCTCCTTTCATCCTAAGAACCCAAGAATGTTATCCTTTTAGTTATCAGAAATCACAACGTTAAAATGCAAATACTTAGGACTACCAGTAGCCTCAACCATTATCTTCTAAAACATTTTTAGAAAGCAAAGCATTAATAGGATTTGGACTGACGTTGGAGGTGGAAATTCTGATGCCCGTGACAGCTTTAGGGACCTGGGCGGCCAGTTCCCCACTCCCCACTCCTCCCCAGATTCTCCAAAAAAAGCTCAAGTCCTAACTTTGACCACGTTTGACAAAGAAGGGAGAGGAAACAGCCGTTTTGTAAAGTACTACTTCCAAACGCCACCCGTCAGGACAGATTCCAAACCACCTTAACTTGCTGCTGGTTTTAACTGAAAATAAATGGTACATAAGTAATCAGAAAGTCGCATTCCCAGACCTCTGACCAAAGAACCGAAAAAGGACAGCGAACGACCGGTTCCGAATTCTCTGAACCAAAGGGTCGGAAGAGCAGTTGAGAACAGGAGGAGGCAGGTCTTCCACGACAAACCCCGCCCCTCCCTCCCTCGTCGCTCATTGGTGGCGGCGTTAGGCCGCGACGGAGGGGCGGGCCTGTGGCTCGGTCGCTCACTTTCCGCACGGTCCCGTGCGCGCTGTGGGTGTGTTTCGGAAGGCGGGCGCGCGCGCGCTCACGTCGGAGGACCGGAAAGGAGGCGGGGCCGCGGCGGCGCGCGCTCCCGGAACGCGCGTAACGCAGACGGCGCGGATCGCAGGGAGCCGGTCCGCCGCCGGAACGGGAACTTGGGTGTGCGTGTTGAGCCGGGGCTCGTGGGAGGCTGTCGCGATGAACACGGTGCTGTCGCGGGCGAACTCGCTGTTCGCCTTCTCACTGAGCGTGATGGCGGCGCTCACCTTCGGCTGCTTCATCACCACCGCCTTCAAAGACAGGAGCGTCCCGGTGCGGCTGCACGTTTCGCGGATCATGCTGTGAGTGCTGCCGAGGCCGGGCCGGCTGGTGAGCCGAAGCCGGGCCGCCGCGCCGGGGCCGCGGGCAGGGCGTCTGGGTCGCGCTCTGGAGCGGTCGTTCGCCCCGGAGGGCGGTCGTCAGGGGTGCACCTCGCGGGCTTTTCCGGCGTCCCCTCGGAACTCGCACCCCTCCACCGTCAGTTCCCGGGCTTGCTCTTAAATGTTCATTTTGAGTGTTCCTCAGGTCGGTGCCTCCGTTTGCTTCCTGTTCCTCACTTCCCTCCACCCACGCCTGGCCAATGAGGGAGCAACACAACAGCAGAGCCGGCGCCGCCGCCCGCCCGGGCAGGCGCCTCCCGCGCGTCCGAGGCCGCTGGGGGTCCGCACGCGAGGCCCGCCGGGCGCCGCCGCCGCGCTCTGGGTCGGGCTTCCGTGGGGATTCCCGGCGGCTCTACCGCGCCGGAGGCCACTGGAGGGTGTTGTCTTTGTGTCATTCATCACCCGAGTTTGCCCTGTTTGACATTCCCTTTCCAGTTGTTGCCTTTGCACCATCAGGAGGCAATAAACGCTTCGCAGCTGCTTTGAAGTTGGCCGGAGATGTTCGGCACTGAGAATTAAGCATCTCAGCCTGCTGATACAGCGGGGTTTCTGTTTCGTTGGGTTTCTTTCTTTCTTAGTTTCTTTCTTTCTTTTTTTTCAGTGCCAACCACTTGAAGAAATCTGCGGAAACGCAAAAAACAAAAAAATGCAATTCGAAATGACAGTGTCATTTTGCTATTCCTTATTTGGTCCTTGATTTTATTCTCTGGCACTTTTGTCTTGATACGTCGTGTTTCCTTCCCCCCAACAATCCCTCCCTACGCCGTTCTCATACCCTTCTCCTCTATTCCATCTTCCAATAAGTTCTTTAACCTTAGTTTATCTTTGTCAGAATCACCAAGAAGCCAGTCATCAAATAGCGAGCCTTCTCCCTGCACCTCTTTTTTTTTTTCTTTTTTAAAATTACTGATGTTTATTAGACGTTGTTCGAATAGACCTGAGGTGGAAACCAGCACTGCCACTGTCAGCCCTGTGAGGGTTAGGAGAGCTTGGTGCATACTAAACACTGAACAGATGTTAGCTGTTGCTGTCTTGAGCAAGTTTCTTACCATTCTGTGCTTTAATTTCCTTTTCTTTAAGATGGAAGTAATACCTAATTGGTAGGTTGTGAGAATTATTTTAAATAATTTTGAAAAATACTGTCAGTGGGTCTGACCCGTAGTAAACAGTAAATAGCAGCTGGTTACAGTAGTCTCCCCTAAATGGGGGTAAGTATACCTTCCAAGACCCCCAGTGGATGGCTGAAACCTTGGATAGCACCAAACCCTATATATACTGGGTTTTTCCTATACCCTACATACATACCTGCATATGCTAAAACTTACAAATTACACACAATAAGAACAATAACATAATAGAACAACTGTAACAATATACTATAAGAGTTATGTGAATATGGTCTTTCTGTCAAAATATCTTATTTTGCTGGACTCACCTATTTTCACGCAGGGTTGACCACGGATAATTGAAACCGGAAAGTGAAACCTCGGATGAGGGGGTGATTTCTGTATTATCCATTAATATTCCATCTGTCAGTATTCCATACCACCTTGTAGTCATGTGTAGCTTTCTTATACCCATTCTGCAAAATTGTTGTACAGCAAGTATTTACAATTCTTTTTAGCAGTTTGGGATTTTCTTAAGGTATATGAAATTAGCTGATGACCTACTTTCATATTGGATTAGAATGTTTATCCTGTTTTCACACTTACAGGTTTCTCTGGTTTTTACTTGTTTCTTTGTGGTATTACTGTTTCACTTGTGCACACACCTATGTTCTTTCTTTTTAAGTAATTAGTGAATTTTGTATGTTCTATTGGAAGGTTGGTAAAACTTTTATGTTTACTTCTAGAAAAAATGTAGAAGATTTCACCGGACCTAGAGAAAGAAGCGATCTGGGATTTATCACATTTGATATAACTGCTGATATCCTTTAAGAAAATATTTTATTACTTTTTCTATAGTTTTATAATGAGATATGTAATGAGATATTTAATGATTTGGGGGACACTATAACTATCACTGAATTAGCCAAACCTTGGAAATTCCTGTGCCTTTTTCATCAGTAAAATAATGTTAATACTTCCCCGTCACACTTTGAGAAAACTTTATAGATTTCATGAGTAGTTGTGTGAACATACTTTATATTCTTAATGGATACATTAAATTGATTGAAAGCTATGTACGAAAGTTTGAATCTGCTTTTTAGAAAGAAAAAATAGAATTAGATCATTTTGAAAAAGAAGGAAAAATATTACCAATGCTCAGCCTGCCTGTAAATATTTAATGTACAATTTCAAATAATATATCCATATTTTATTATAGCAGAGAGAAATATATGTTTAAAAAACATCTGTTATGATTCAAAAGATCGTATCAAAATTATTGGTAAACTGGTTGCTTTTTGCCATCATAACTCTTTCTATAAAAACTTTCGTAGAAGTCAGAAAATACTAACAATTAAGAGTTTCTTTAGTGGGGATATTTAAATATTTTCTCGACTTAGAGTTTCCATCTTTTGACAACTCTGATCATTTTGGCCAGGCTAGTCTTTTTTTAGGGCCTTAGGTTAATATTGTGGCAATGTTCTCCGCCATTTCTAGCCTAATCTCTCCTACCTTTTTAATACCCCATGATTTAAATAGTTGTGGAGACTGAACAGTCTGAACTTGTGTGAAAGTAAAGCTGATCATATACTTGGAGAATTTATCTAGTTTGCCTTTCTATGACCATGAAAGTTGCTTTCAGTTTAAGGTTTAATATATTATTGGATTTAGAAATAGACTAAAAATTAGTTCTGTAGGTACCTTTTTAGGAAATCAGAAAAGTCTTATGCTGTATTTCATATGTGTACTTTTAAGTCTTTGTGTCACTTAAAAATTACTCAAGGGAATTTGGGCCCACTGTGAGAATAGTAATTTTGTGTATTATTTGTGTATTATTATGAAATTTCCTGGTTTCCATGGTCTTTATTTATTAGCAATCTCATTATTTGTAGTTTCTTCAGACTTTCTTAATGCTGCTGCTACTACTACTTAAAATTGTACTTGTTCTTGTAAACAGCAGTCCTAGACTTGATCAGTTCTAAAGGAGTGATTCTTAGTGATTACACCTAATTAATAATGGAATGTAACAAACACGTTGCTACCAGTATGGAAACTGATATAGTACTCTGCTTTTTGCTTCGTATCAGCGCCAGTCTTGTTAATTCTGGTGAAGTTCTTTTCCTCTTTGGGAAACCGAATTGATGGTGTCATTTGCATCTTTGAGAGACATTTTAATGTCTACTTAGATGTGACCAAAAATGACATGTACAATTTATTATACTTGGTTAATTATTGAGCCTTATGTTTGTATATTGTTAAATTTAGATAGTGGTGATTGTGTATACTTTAGAGCTCCCGTGGAATTTTATTTGTTTGAAATATTAAGTCCTTTTTTTTTTTTTAACACAGTTGATGTTACAGAAAACCAGATTTTAGATTCGTTCTTTTATCAATCAAAGTATCTCAGCTAGTAACCCTCCGAGGATTCTAGTAACCTTCCAAGGATTACATGGAGGGTTACTAGCTGAGATACTTTGACAGATAAAAGAGTATGGGAAGATGCAGAAAATCCCATGCTGACATTTTTTGGTTTTGGAATAAGCTGGATTTCACAATATATTTATCTTCTGCATATTTTTATCAAATTAGTGGCATATTATGTTTCTGGGCCACCTTTTTTTCTGATTTAGTTTTACTATTGTTATGGATAAATAACCTAAGAATAATTAAGATCTATTTGAAAGTGATATACTGCTCATAAATTTATATTTTCCTTAATTTACTTACATCTAGAGAATATATTTGATTGGAATGTTAAGCAGTTGTTTCTTTATTTATCAGCAGAATATTCAACAAAAAATAATGTAAGTATATCTAATTAGAAGTATTTTAATAGTTATTGAAAGCCTTATTCTTTATGAAAGAATATACATTTTATATATAAATAAAATCTAAGTTACCTAGCAAAAAATCAGAAGCCTGTGGAGAGGTAGCTCTGTTCTGAAAACTTTATCTCTTTTGTGAGACTCTTTATTTATTTATTTTGCTATTTGTTCTATAGCTCTCGATCACTGGGATCTCCAGAATGGAGTCCATGCAAAGTAATATATGTGTGTAAGGAAAACAATTAAGAGCTTCTAATAATTTAAAGTAAAAAAAGAAGAGAAGCTTTACTAATACTTGTTCTATGAACTGACGTTAAAACTCATATTGAGCCCTTAAGTCAGATAGATGGTCACATTCTACAACATGCAGATATTCTGGAGGAAGAGGAAGAATTCTGCAGATCAAGAAGTTAACCGTGCTACCTGGCATACATTTATTTGCTTTCAGCATGTTGCAAAACATTGCAGTATATGCAATATATAAGTGGATTATATTATCTGATTTTAGCTAATCCTCTCAAAGTGGAAAAGTAGCTTAAAAAGATTTCTGCAAAGAAATCACAGACTGAAGATAATTATAATAATTCATTACATGAACAATAGGAAAATGGTGGAACTCACAGTTGTATTCCTCTTCTGAGCTGCTTGTGTCACACTTAAGGATAAAAAAAGCACAAAAACAAGCTGAGTAGATATGACAAGTTAGCCGAGACACTATCAATACTATTAATTAATAATTATGCATGTGTATTACCTACAAAATTTGTAAAAACATGTATTTTGAGGATTTGTGATCAGAAACCATTGGAGCCACTTTCAGTAGTAAAATCAGAAAGATATTGCTGAACTATATCAACTAGGAAATGGAGCTGGTAGTATTGCTACTCAGCAGTTTATTCTTTAAGCTAAAATACTGTGTCTCCACAGCTACAATTAGAGAGCTGCATGGTGACTTACTTGAATCAACAAAATTTGAGACCTGTGATTATAATTCTCATCATGAAGATACATAACCAGAAGCTCTAAATATTGTTAATAATTTTTGAACTTGAGATTATTTTAAAATCCATCTTAGTATCAGATACTTTCCTTTTTAAAAAACATGGTGTGAGCTGTTTTGGTAGTCTTAGCCACATACTTACAATTAATTAATATCCCTACCGATTGAGAAGAGTTTGCCTTTGTTTTGGGGTTACATGGGATTCATTAATCTGAGTATCTGAGTACTTGAACTAGTTTTTGTTTGTTTGTTTGTTTGTTTGTTTTGTTTTTTGAGAGAGAGTTTCACTGTTCTTGCCCAGGCTGGAGTACAGTGGGGTGATCTTGGCTCATTGCAACCTCTCTCTGCCTCCTGGATTCAAGCAATTCTCCTGCCTTATCTTCCCAAGTAGCTGGCATTATAGGCACCCACCACCATGCCCAGCTAATTTTTTGTATTTTTTGTAGAGACAGGGTTTCACCATGTTGGCCAGGCTAGTCTCGAACTCCTCACCTGAGGTGATCCACCTGCCTTGGCCTCCCAGAGTGCTGGGATTACAGGTGGGAGCCACTGTGCCTGGCCTGAACTAGTTTTTTAAATCAAAATTATAATTTATAATTTTTAATTAGATGCTATTAAACTGTTATATCGAAACCTATTAAAACTGTTAGTTTATGATTGAAAGTTATTAGTCTAGTTGAGAGCTTTTGTTGCAGACAGTGTGGGGGTGGAGATATTTATATAGAATATTGTGCAAATATTAATAGAAATCTGAGATTCAAATTTAGTGTTGATATCAAGGTATAAAGTGGTAGACTTAAAAATCTGAGAGTGAAATCTATACAGTTAAAATATACAGTTTTTTGTTTTTTTTTGAGACGGAGTTTCACTCTTGTTACCCAGGCTGGAGTGCAATGGCGCAATCTCGGCTCACCACATCCTCCGCCTCCTGGGTTCAGGCAGTTCTCCTGCCTCAGCCTCCTGAGTAGCTGGGATTACAGGCACGCGCCACCATGCCCAGCTAATTTTTTGTATTTTCAGTAGAGACGGGGTTTCACCATGTTGACCAGGATGGTCTCAATCTCTTGACCTCGTGATCCACCCACCTCGGCCTCCCAGAGTGCTGGGATTACAGGCTTGAGCCACCGTGCCCAGCCTAAAATATACAGTTTTTTACCTGAGTTTCCCTTATGTTTGTCATTAGTGTAGTCTGGAGCTAATTTGTAGTTAAAGATGGGCCTACCTTCTTTATTTTATTTGAATTATATACTTTGAAAAGAGTGACACAATCAGTTTTATCTGTTTCATGGTTTGATTAGCTAACTGGAATTTTTAGCACTTCAATTTATTATACATTTATTTTAAGCATGCATTTTATGCCAGGGTGTTTTTAGGCACTAGGAATATTGACATGAATAAGTTTTGATCCCAGTCTTTCAGAATCAATAAAATCTTAAACAGAAAAGTTATTCTTGAAGAGCAACATCTATAAATACACATACTCTACGAGTTTTAACAAACTATTGAAATAAATGTCACCTTTGTGATGGGTATACTTACACTCTACTTACAATTCTATACTTACTAAGCTATTACAACTTAACTATACCTATAATTTATCCTAGCATAACTAGAAAGTTAAACCAATTTGAAATTTGACAGATTATTTGGTAAAAAAAATTATTTTACTTCAGCATATCTTTGATTCTGTTTTCTTCAGTTTTCATGTTTCTGTTTAATATTAGAAACAAACTTTAAAGTGTGGATTCAAACCCTCTTAGAAATAACTGCTCCACCTTTCGTTTTAGTGAATGTCGTCATCATAACTGAGTAATTGGCCTTGCAAGCTAATAGATGCTAATTTAATAAGAACAAATTCCTTGGGATTTAGTAGTGGCCACAAATGTGTTTTCTTTCCATTTCGTGCTTTTAATTTTCTAAATGGAACTTGTTTGTAATATGTTGAAAGAGTGGCTTAAAATAATTGACCTCTAGAATTTTGCCTGATGAAACTGATGCATGTATTTTTTTTTAATTAAAGGGAAACAAGCTCTTTAGACGGCTTCATTTCTTTAGGGATTTCTTCATTTCTTCAAGAGTTTGTAAAGAAATCTTGGAGAAGATTTCTTAGAAATTTTCATGATATAATTAATCAACAGTAACCTGTATTAGCAGTGTGATGGAACAGGGATTGGTTCTGTTTTCCTGGCACCATTTAGGATCCATGCTGAGCTGGAGAGTCTTAGAAATTTTACAAGGAAAAGTGATTGAAAAGAATACTTCCCTTTCAGGGATTTAATTCATCTGTTCCTCCAAAGGCCTCACTTTTTAGAGATCTTATAGATCAGAAACTGTGTACTAAGTTATGAAGGCCCTAAGTAATACAGTTGAGTTAGCAAAAGGAATGAATTCCTTCAGGGAATTATCATTCATCTCTCCGAGAAAAATTTGCCCCCTTTTTGTATCTGTTTGCTATCATTTGTATGCATTAAGATTTCAGCAAGCACCTCAAAGTTGGATTCATTAGCATGTCAGTCTATTTGCTTACTAATACTTTTATTTTGAAGTGATACGATATTTCCGATGAGCTATCTAATTAATTTTCATTTTAATATAGGCTCTGAACCAAGTTGTCCTGTGGGACAAGATTGTTTTGAGAGGTGATAATCCGAAGCTGCTGCTGAAAGATATGAAAACAAAATATTTTTTCTTTGACGATGGAAATGGTCTCAAGTGAGCAATTCTTGGTCTTTTCTCTCTCTCTCTCTCTTTTTTTTTTTTTTTTTTTTTACATTTAATAAGAGGTGAAAAGGAGAGAAAGATGTATTTTTATTTTAAGCAAGAATACTCAAGAGTAAAAGGAGAAAAATTGGGAGAGAGGTATTTATGCATATCTGAACTGAAAGATTGGGTGGAAATGCAAAGTGGGATCTAAGATAAGTAAGCAACACTCTTGCAGTATGTGAAATGTCATAGTCTAACTATTAAAGCTTCTATCCTAAGTGTATACAAGGACTATGGGCTTATTCAGATATGGTAGGGCTGTGGTTGTCAAATTAAAGGGCTCCTTGCTGAGAGTGAGCCAGGAAACCTCAGAAGCAGCGTGTTGGATCTAGGAGTTGATACCAGTTAGCAGAACTAGTGTTGGTTCTTCGAACATGACTTCTCTAAAGCTCAGTTTAGAGTGATGGATCTCTCAGATGATTTTTACCTCTTAGACTCTATTGGGAAACATTGGAACTAATTTTAGAAGAGAGCTGTTTTGCCAAGCCAGACCTCTGTATTTGCATTGAAAATTTCAGAACATGAGAGTTTTAATTTGTTAAGGTTTGTCCGTCTAGATAATAATAGAAATTCCTAGCTCGTCTGTTTTTACATTTACCGTTTTAATCATTTAAGCTTTTTTGGTTGATAGTTCTATTAACTGCAGCTGTGAGTTTAGATGGGTCATCATGGGATATCAGTAAGTGTAATACCGTGTCTTCTAGCATTGTCCTTGGATTTTAGGTGATATGAGAAAATAGTTCTTGCAGATTAGCATATTAGGATTTCTATAAGAATATATGGCTATAAATAAAAGTATTCAACATCCCAGTGTTTGACTTAAAATTTTTTTTTGAACTACTAGAATTTCTGATGACTTGTGTTTATTATGTCTTTTTATAGGGGAAACAGGAATGTCACGTTGACCCTGTCTTGGAATGTTGTACCAAATGCTGGAATTCTACCTCTTGTGACAGGGTCAGGACATGTATCTGTCCCATTTCCAGATACATATGAAATAACGAAGAGTTATTAAATTATTCTGAATTTGAAACAACATATTTTTATACTTAATGAATTGTATCTCATTTATCTCTTCCCTTGCATCTTCATTTGTTGTTAGTTTTGTTGTTGTTGTTGTTGTTTGGTTTTTTTCGGTATAAGACCTAACATCAAAAGGCCTGTTTGAAGGGAAAGGTTAATGGGCTGCTTAATTTTACAAACAAAAAAGAAACCATGGCTGTCACAGTGAAGTATCATCTTACAAGAATAAGAACTACATAAAAAGGATTGTAAAAAATACATATTTGAAGTATTCCCTGTATTTCTGTTACTCTTTATGGAATATAAAGTAAGCATGAAGGGTAGTTAAAACCTTCAGGTGCCTGTAGAGTCATAATAATTCTGTATTTTATGCCTTGCATTCACGCAAGTTCACAATGGATGTGATTTAAAAGTAGATATTCTCTTTTATCTTTTTAAGGATATGTTTGAATCCTGGAAAATTAATATGGTTATTTGTTAGAAGTCCGGTTTATAAAAAAGCCAAAAGTAATGGAATTTTATTCCATTTGTCTTAGGCAGGCCCATAATATTTGTTTTTCTTACATGTAACTAGCAATTTTCTCCACTTAAAGACTAAATACCTCTTTATATGATGTAAATCATTCTAATTCATTTTAAAATCTTTTAGGTCAACCAAATGTGTGTCTTCAGTGCTTTCTCTAAAAATGTTCCTTTATAGCTTTGTACATTTTTTAAGCATTGCCATTGAAAGTTGAAAATGTTTGCATGGTTTATCCTCTGAGTACGTTTCTTCTAGTGAGCATGCCTACTGCCACTAAGTGAATTATTTACGACTTTTTGTAGGTCCATATTTTAATTATTGGGATAATAATTGTGGTATGCTTTCCATTTACAAATTAGTGTATGTCATCCTTAATAATCTAACAAGGTAAGTAGTATAAGTGTTAGCTCTTTGCAGATAAAGAAACTGAAACCCAGAAGTTTATTGAATTGTTACATAGTGAGCAAGGAGTGGTGTTAAAACTTGAACTCAGATCTACTAATTCTCTGAGCTCATCCTTTTATACCTGAGATTGCAGACTAATCAAATATCACTTATAACCTTCTGATTTTTTTTTTTTTTTTTTTGAGACGGAGTTTCGCTCTTGTTACCCAGGCTGGAGTGCAGTGGCTCGATCTTGGTTCATTGCAACCTCCGCCTCCTGAGTTCAAGCAATTCTCCTGCCTCAGCCTCCCGAGTAGCTGGGACTACAGGCATGCGCCACCATGCCCAGCTAATTTTTGTATTTTTAGTAGAGACAGGGTTTCACCATGTTGACCAGGATGGTCTCGATCTCTTGACCTCGTGATCCACCCGCCTCGGCCTCCCAAAGTGCTGGAATTATAGGCGTGAGCCACCACGCCTGGCCTCTGATATTTTTTTGTTACCCTGGAAACCCCTTCTATCACTCCTAGAAAAGGTTTCTCATTTTATTTGGAAGTGACTAATTTTCAGGCTGCCAACTTATATTGAGGTAATACTTTATTCTCTTCATAAATTTATTTCACTTATACTAAAAGTATAAGGATATCTACATATATGTAAAAATAATACACAATACATGATTGAATACATGATCATATTTAACATGATTTTTTTTTCTGCTGTGGAGAAATAAACATCCTCAAATTAGCAACTGCAAATCAGTTACCCTTAGAAAAATAAGACCAACCACTGTAGTTACACTGTTAGCAGTAATTAAAAAGGGCTAATATTTTCTAATATTAAACTATTAATAATAAACATTTCTTATATTTACCTTATGTGAAATATATCACTAGTTACATTAATTTTAGCATCTATGGTATGGAGTTGTATAGTTCATGTAAAAGCATGTGGGTATGGGTTTTTCAAACCATCACAAAGGTCAAAGGTGTCATGAATGCTAAACTGTGCTTGGCTACCAGCTTTTTCATTAAACTTTTCTGGGTCTTGGTTTCTTTATCTGTAAAATAACAGAGTTGGACTAGTTAACTTCAATGGTGGTCCTTTTACACCATACAAGTCTATAAAATTTGTCTGTTCAGCAAAGAGATTGAACAGAAAAGCATGTTAGTAATATGAAGACAGGAAAATGAGTGAAAAACTAACACATAACTCATATTGATCTACTTTATTTCTGTTAGATTTTACACTCAGAATATTTAACCTCATTTACTTTGTACAAAGACTAGACATGGAAACTTAAAATGTGCAGGTGTCAAAGCTTAAAAATCGGGGCGTCTTCTTTAAAGAAGGTATGCGCTATAAGCCTGCAGTCTTAACCAGACTGGTACCAGTTTAACAGTTCATAATACTTCTGTGATGAGTAGATCTGTTAGTCTGGTAGAGATTAATGTTGAAATTTACTTGAATTACAATTTTTTTGACAAGCCCACCTTTTTTTTTTTTTTGGAATTTGGTGAGGAAGACAAGTAAAAATATCCAACTAGCACAATGTGGATAAAGTTGTTTGCTTGACTAAGGGAAACTGCTCAGAACAAGAATGCTTCAACACGGGAATAAGGACCCTCAGTCTCAGGAACTCATTTTTGGGTGCAGTTTCTACATTTAAAAAATTGACTTGTGTTCAGTTTGATGACCATTTCATTTGGTTTAGTCTCAGTGTTTTAAAGAAATCTCATAACGTTCTACAAAGACACAAAGCTTCAGGTTTATACAAAACTATGATTAGAAATATGTGAGCCCAGAAATGATTCTGAGATAAGAGAATAATTTTAAGATACTTATTTAAAAGTAATTATGGTTAGAAATGAATTAATGTAAAAATGTGCTCACATATTCGTTTCTCTAACAGTTTAACCTGGACAACCATCTGTATCAGTGTTTTTTATCCCCCTAGTTGATTATATTTAGTTTCTTTATTTCGAAAGGAAAATAACAAAAAATTTCAGAAATTCCTAAGCGTGTAATAGGAAAGTGGGTTATTTTGAATTTCCTTTCCTGGAATTATTTTACAGTTCTTTGGTGGGTCTGGTCAGCCACTTAATAGCTGGGCTTTAAGATTAACCTCTAATAGCTAATGGCTGGGCTTTATCTCTGTGATGATAATCTTAAAGCCCAGCTATTGATAATGAACATTTTTCACTATTTTTTTCTATCTGAAGCTTAGAGATCTAAAGCTTTGGATTTTTTGGGTATATGTCAATGGAGGTATTATTTTATAATACTTTGTGTTGACATGAAGTGGGTTCATGGGGGGGGGGGAACCATAAGCTGTGAACATGGGTAGTAAACAAACATAATCATTTCAAAGCTTTCCTTGCTTTTAGCAGAGAAAAGCCTGTATACCTTACATGTGACTGCCAGTCGTTTAAAGAGATCTGTTTCAAAAAGTTGTTGCATGTTTTTGATGCAATCTGGGAAATTGTTTACTTCACAATATAGTCATAAAACATTCATGAAAATACTAAATATATGTTTGAGGATTTTTCTTTTTCTTTTCTTTCTTTTTTTTTTTTTGGAGGTGGAGTTTTGCTGTTATGCCCAGGCTAGAGTGAAGTGGTGCGGTCTCGGATAACTGCAACCTCCATCCCCCCCTAGGTTCAAGTGGTTCTCCTGCCTCAGCCTCCGGAATAGCTGGGATTACAGGTGCCCACACCACGCCCGGCTAATTTTTGTATTTTTAGTAGAGACAGGGTTTTGCCATGTTGGCCAGGCAGGTCTTGAACTCCTGACTTCAGGCAATCCACCCGCCTCGGCTTCCCAAAGTGCTAGGATTATAGGCATGAGCCACCATGCCCGTGTAAGGATTTTTCTTAATCGCAATAAATATTCAGCATTTTTTCTAATGACAATGAATTTTGTTTACAAGTAAAAGTATGCATTTTAAAAGACTCAGATTTATGCTTTTTATGTGAAGCTGCTGAACTAAAAGTAAATGGACGAAACCAAGTCTAGTAGGTTTTTTTCTTTTTCTGGTGGGGGTGGGATGGGGGAGGTTAATTACACCTAAAATATCTTCTCCAGAGACTGTATGCTCCTATATAGACTGTAAGCTCTTTGAGGGCAGTCTGTCAGATTTATCTTTGTATCTTGCCCAGCGCCTAGTATAGTGCTTTGCACATAATGGGTGCCCAATAAATACTGATGATGAATGAAGTTGTGTTTTTAATGTGACCAAATCATGGGGATTGTTGGTAATTAATACTGTCCTCCTTTGTGAGTGCTGCTTTTTTTCATCTTGAGCTCCTAATGACATTAGATCTTCCTTTCAAGGTCAGTTGGACAGTCAAGTTAAATGCTGCTCTTGCTCTAGTTGCTGTGACCTGTGTTGTTTCTGGCTTTTGCTGAGAGCCGTGATAGTGGCTAGTGATAAGGCTCATACATAAATCGCTTTACTTTAAAGTAACGCTTACTGTAGACCTGACCGAAATAATAATATCAGAATGCCTGTTTAAAGTATAGCTCAGGAAAAAAATGGGTTAAAGCGAATGGTTGATTCTTTGAAAGCCAAGGGTGTTGGCTGAGCCTCTGCCAGCTTCTTGGGCACTTTAGCTGCTTTGGTTTACTGCTACCACACATCCCAACTCATCAGACCGCACCGAGTATACTTTGAGCGAAACCTACACAACCCTGAGCAGACTTCTGATAGAATCCAATTCCAAGTTTAAGATGAATTAAGCTGTGGAAATTCTACTCTTTCTCTATATTGATCTCAGAAGAGATAGAAGTTTCTCAAAGGGAACATTTATTTACTGGTGAATTCAGACAATCAAATTCTCAAAACAATAAAAAAGCATTGATTTTAGAGGGTAAGGGTTTTTAACAAGTTCATGTTATCAGGAGTGATACAAGAAGTCAGCCTGGGCAACAGAGTGAGACTCCATCTCAAAAAAAACCAAAACAAAACAAATTTTGGTCTTGCCGCGTTAGCTTAGCATTAACTTTAAGAGATTCTGTATGTTTTTTTTTTTTAATGAAGGTGTAGTTCATAGTTCATTTTCATTGTTAAGCAATAATTCATTATAGTCATCCATAGCAATCTGGAGTGAGCATAATTTATTGTTCTGTTGATGGACTGATGAACATGTGCACTGAATATTCCTGTATGGGCAGCCTGGTGTATGTGTTTCTCTAGGAAAGGGATCTTCACATTTTGTTGCTTGAATAGCAATTTTTTTTTAACTTTCTTAAATATGAAAATTTTTCATCTTGTTATAGATATAACTTTTGGCACATTGCAAATATTAACATTTTAAAGTACAAAGTGCACATTACTTTTTTTGTATTACTTTAAAAATGTACCTAAAGGTATCCAGTGGAATATGCTATTTATATGATTTAATACAATAACTCATTTTCTGATGGACAGATTCTCCCTTAATGGCCAAAGTTTTTATCATTTCTTTTTCAAATCATATTTACATGCCTCTAACAAAATTTTGTCCTACTAGATAATACTCTAGAGAGTGCTATTTGCAAGTCTTTTATTGATAACTCTACCACATTTCTTTGTAAAAAAAAATGTGCATGTAAATTGAAATTGATCTTTTACAATTTCCTCTGACCCCAACATTCAAAGTTCTAAGGGCTTAAAAGTTATTCTGGAGTAAGCTAATTCTGTAATTATCAGTAGTATACAACTGATCAAAACAAGAAGTATATTCGAAATGTGATAGATAACAGTACCTCTTGAGATGGAATTAGATATGTGAGAGGTTAATTTATGTTGCTTTTATTAAGGGAATTATTAAATTATTTCTTTATACCCAAGGTTTGATGCCTAGTGGCAATGCACCATAGCAAGATTCTGGATGAGACGAGCCTTTCTATTGTGAAAGGCATGATGGAAGGGAGGGATCCCAAGCTTAGGTGCCTTATCAGCCAGATCGCTTTAGAAGTACCTGTGAGAGCAGAGCTGATTTCCATACAGCTCACAGCTCTCTGTCGCCATGCACAGAGTTCTGTGTTCCTCCTAATTGACCACTGCTGTAGTATACACACCTAAGATTGGAAATTTCTTAAGTTTTCTGGAATTCATATCAACATCTGTACTCTATTACCAAACTTTCCCAAAGTGTTTTTTCCAAGTGTGAGTTCTTTTTGCCTAAATTTGGGTTCTCAGACTTCAGTTTTTGCCAACCTGGTGACTATCCAATGGTATCTTATTTTGGTTGTAATTTATATCTCTGTTTACTAAAATGATAAACTTCTATTCATGTTTATTGTTCATTTGAATTTCTTTTGCAAGGTGCCTGTTCAAGTTTTGCTCATTTTCCATTTGTCTTATTGCTTTGTAGGATTTCATTATCTACGCTCAGTTTTAGTCTTCCAGCTTACCCTTTCACTTTTTCATGGTGCCTTTCAAGGTTCTCAATATAATCAAATTTCTCAGACTTTTCTTTTATTGAATAATGCTCTTTTAATGATTCTCCCAGCTTCCATGGTGTTATGAAACAGAAAGTTCTCTCAGTTTTGAAGTCAGCAGTATCTGGGTTTGGATTCTGGTGTGGCCGCTTTCTAGCTATATGAAATGGGGTAAGCAATGCTACTGGCGTGAAGTGTCTAAGCCTCGTGTTTGATTATTAATTGTTTGTGCCTGGCATTATTATATGTGCTTTGCATATATTAAACTCACTTAATGCTCACAACAACCCTATGAGGTAGATGTCATTCGCATTTTAAAGGAAAAGAATCTCAAATAAAGATAGGTGAGTAACTAGCTCCAGGTCAGTCTGGTAGGTAGTGGTAAAGCCAATATTCAGAGCCTTGCATCTGCACCAGATCCTGAACTCTCCTCCATACAGACTATGCTTTGTTCTCAGAAACATGGGAATGAGCATACCTTTTAGAATTTCTGTAAGCAAAAAATGTAAATGGGAAAGGACCTCCCAGCATTTTTGCTACGTAGCAGATTTTTGTGATTTCTGTGAAAAATAGGGGAGTTAAAGAAAAACTGAAGAGAACACAAACATTAAAGTCTGTTTGCAAAGTCATGTATTGTTTTAACAGATAATTATAGAGCAAATTGAATAGTTCTTTTACCATGCAAAAGCATGAGTCTTTTTTCAGTGTCTTTAATGTAAGAGACAAATGTTCTCTGAACAACACTTAGTATTTTTCTGATAAGAATGGGGAAAAAAATCTATTTCTTAACTCAATCATGTAGATTAATTTCTTAATAATCTTTAAAAGTATAGGAAAATATATCCTCATTTTAACCATGTGGCCTGAAAAGGGCCAGAGAAAACAAATAATAAAGCTTTGAATGGAAGTTGCCAGACAATAAAGATAAGTTTATTCTGGATATTGCAACAGGGAGAATTTTCATTTCTGCAGCAGAATATGTTAAATCAGTTAAGGAGGCCTTGGGTTTTATAGAGGCAGGTGAACAACGGAGTCAAGGGGAAAAATAGAGAGGTTCAGTTCTTGGATTTGTCAAAGGAGGTGGTTCCTGGAAGTTAACTGTTCCTCAGAACATAAAAGTTGGATTTTTTTTCTTCTTTTTTTACCATTGCTTTCTCCTGGGAGCACAGGGCTCTGGAAATTTTCAACATTGTCACTGCTATTAGAAAAGCTAAGAAAAATGCAGAATCCTCCACTGTACAGCAAGTCTGTGGGTCAGCAACCAGGCAGTCACAATGGTCAGAGCAAATGTGTAATAAACCTGATCAGGAGTCTAATCCTCCAAAGAGATGAGGAATCCCTAGTCTAAAATGATTTATCACTTTAACTTAAAGATTGATAGTTCACTGACCACCGACCAGCTCTTTGCACTTGATTGTAAATCCAGAAATTCAATTAAGTATTTGTTCTTTTTTTCTAGCAAATTCTTTAATTTTAATTTGAAATCAGTGCATTATATTTATAACTCCATTAGTCATTTTCTACTTAACAGTCTTTGATGATCCTTTCCAATAGTGAAATGATCCTATAAGACCATTTACAGGTTCTAAGATTTTTCCTTTTTCTACCCATCCCTACTAATTAGAAATACATTTCTAGGAAGTAATCTAACAGTAATTTCAGTTTTGAAAAGGGTATTGGATGGTAAGGAGACTACATTATTTAAAGGCCTCTATTGATCCTTTCAGAGACTTACTGGAAGTTGAAAACTAGCACAAAGAGGTCCCCTGTACCCTGCACCTAGTTCTCCCTCATGGTGACATCTTACACAACTATAGTTCAGTATTAAAACTGAGAAATTGACATTGGTACAGTGCACAGCCTATTCAGATTTCATCCATTTTACATTGTTCATTTGTGTTTGTTAGTATCTTTAATGGCCCAGGCACTGCTTATACTCTGGCATGGAGTGTGGTAATACAGACAGTTCTTCAAAACACTTTACACTTTCTTGGGAGGTTTTTTGTTTCTGTTTTGTAGTGCGGCCTCGATTCTCAGCCCTGCCTTTAAGATTTCGTCACTTGTCTTAGAGAGTCAAGAATTAAAGTATTGCAACTGCAGTGATTATTAATTAAAGAATAAATACATTAAAGTAGGTTGAAGCAGGGCGATAACATGTTACTTGTCACCTTGAACCAGCTAGTTAGAATTCTCCTGATGGATACAAAGGCCTAGGATGCTTAAGTCGTAGATGGCTGAGAATCGTTGTCCTGAGTGAAAACACTAAGGAACATCACTACCTGGTTGGAATTGCTAAATTTGGCCAGGGGGGTCCATCTGTTCAAATTTAAGTCTCTGGGTTGGTCATTTGAAGATGTATTCTTTAAGAGGTGTAAGATCTCCAGGAAAACCTATGAAAGACCTATCAGTATCTTTTGTGATTTTATAACACACTCATAACACACAAAATTATGATTAAAGTTTCACAAAACATACACTTACGGGCATATGCTTTTTTTTTTTTTTTTTTTTTTAATACAAAACTTAACTTTGGTGTTTGGGGATACCTGTCTATAGTATTAGGGGTTGCATGTTTTCTTCGTAAACAAGTCTAGGACTTATACAAAAGCCTCCTAGACTTGTATACAAGTTTTAGATATCCTTCCTAACCACATTCACAATCCCCTCTCTGTATACTATTATAAAGTCTAGGAGGCTTTTGTTTTTGTTTGTTTGTTTTGTTTTTTAAATATAAGGAAGTAATAGGGGTGTAAGGTTGAAAAATGACATTTAGGTCATATCCCAAAGA